CAATGCCAAAGCCTATGAGTTTCTCAGGGACCTACAGAAATACTGGGTATTAAAAATAAATAGTAGCACCAAAATTCCAAAAGAAACTGTCAGATTAACATTAATGTATATTTAATTATATCACTACAAACTGTAACACTAGGTTCACTTAATTAATTGCTAAATTTAGTATTAAAACAATTCCATTACCTTTGAAAACAATTTCTAGATTAGATCGTATTATGCTGCAAGAATTCCTGAGTGTGCTTGATGACTGCCTAGAAATCATAACCAGTCATGAATTAATTGGATTATTCACAGTCCAATAATTTCTGAAGCCAAATTATAAAAATGCGTTCAAATTATATACAGGACAAATTGCACTTAATATGGGACTCAAGGGCATCTTACATGTTTACTGTGATGTGTGATAGAAGCTTTAAAACAAAGTGGGATCCATGAAGGTTTTAACATAGCCCTGGCAAAAGTACCTCTTATTACTTAGACACCTGCTTATCTCAGATAGCGTGTTATTTCCACTCCCTCCCCCCAAAAAAAATGCCTTCCCTAGAGTTTGTAATAAGCATACTTCGGTGTATTTTTTAAAGGCCCGTGACTTCCATGTAGCCTTAAGTCATTGATTAGAAACTTTCATCAACATGACTGATTAGGGGGAATCACAATATGTCTCTGCTACTACAGAAAAATGTTGTGTATTAAGGGAAAAAAAAAACAAGATAGAGGAAAGATATATCTCTGAATTTGACTGATTTTATTTCTTTGATGCTATATGAAAGGATTTTCTCTGGTGAAAATGCACTAATCTCCTATTGCTGTGTAGATGCAGAGGTTGAGAAGAGTCATTTGTCTTCGCTTTCTGAAAGCAAGGAGAACTCTAAAACTCACAGTGATAGCAGTGGATGCCTTGGAGATTATCCTGTAACAATACCAAGGACATGATTTTGAAGAGAGATCCAATTCACCTTAATGGGAAGATGAAAAATGATTGAGAAATTACTATCTTTAAAACAAACAAAAATGGTGATAAGTTATATCCACTAAGAATAAAAAGAAAGAAATATTAAGCCACACAGTTCACTGGATACTTACTTAATACAAACTTTAAGATGATCATGAGTTATTACTCTGGAAACATCCCATGATAATATCTTGATAATGGTTTATTCTAAAAAGGTAAAATTAGTGTTTTTCCTTTCCTTTTTTCTTTTTATTTCTTTTCCTTTCCTTTTCTTTTCTCTTTTCTTTTTTTAATTTTCTTTTCTTCTCTTTTTCTACTCTTTGTCTTTATCTCTCTTTTCTTTCATCCCTCCCTTCCTGCCTCCCCTTTCTTTTTCTGTTCTTGCTTTTCCCCTCTGAGTCTCTTTCTTTCTTAATCTACTACCTTATTCTATTCCTTCTTGTTCTCTTTTACACTTGATCTTCATGGAAATTTCATAAAGAATATCAACTGTTACTTCTAGGATGACGATTGATAGAGTTTACAAACCAAGAGGTTTTCCTTGGGTGTAGGAATAACAGGTGCCTTTAGTACATCATTAATCTCTTAATGGAATGGAATGAGTTTTTTTGGGGGGAAATAAAATTCTAACAAAAATCTCTTATGAGGCAAAAGTCTCCAAAAAGTCTTGGCAACTTTTATGTTAGTAAAATTTATGAACATTTATTGTTTTTAGAGTCATGGTTCCTAAGCTTCCCTGTTTGAGGCTCAAAACACAATGTATTTCCAAGAGTAAGGGAGCTGGACAATCTCACTTCTATGACACAGCCCTAAAGAATCTCTGTGAGACTTGGTTATAATCAGAATCTTTTCTAGGATTTTTAGGACTTCTTTGGACAATTCTTTTGGTCTAAGGAACCTTGCTAGATGCAACATCATAAAGAATTGTTTCACCAACCTGATCCCATAGATACCATAATAAATTTGAAATGTGTTTAAGAACCATGTAAAACTGAAAGAAGAGCCAGAATGAATGAGGTAAAGATAAACTCAAACTTCACAATTTTAAAAATGTCCCTACAACATGATATCACTAAGTCACAATATTATGCAGTGTGCATGTGGGTTTGTATTTGCCTGTGTAAGCATGTGTGCATAATGAATTTCATAATGCTAGTCTGCTGCTGTAGGTAGAATCATAACCCATATGAGCCATGTTGAGATCGAACAGTTGACTCTAGTGTAATCTCAACTTTAGAGCTAACCCATAGGGTCGTTGGCTAGTAGTGTAAAGGCCATGTGTAGTGGGGACTTGATGGCTTATATTGCAGTACCCAAGGGAGCTTGATGAGCTGAGACATACTCTGGATTGATGTCCAATGGGGGTAAAGCAAAGTCTTTCCAGGTCATAATGAAATGGGGAGTTTGCGTGGATTTTGGTACAACTCAGTCTGTTCATTAGAGATATGAGTGTCTACATTTGAAAGGGGCTGGTTAAGTCAAAATCTGACTAGAAACCTGGCAGGAGAAATTAATCCCTAGGTATACTGGATCACGTAAAAGGCCTTCAGTTGTGTCACTCATCAGATAATCTCTTTAACATAAACTTGAAAAGGACTTTAAGTAAAGAAATACTCTTTCCCATCCTTTCTTAGGAAAAAAAATATTGAATTTTCTGGCTCTGTGTAACTGACTGTGTTACCACAATAAAGGGATATATGGAAACATTGGCTTCATTATAAAAACATGTCAATCAGGATTCTGATGGATGCTTTACCTGTTATTTTATATAACAAAAGATGGTTTTCTAAGGTATGAAAGGATTTACAATTTCTGGGAAATGAGATTAATTTCTCAGTGATAGTGATAGTTTGTGTCACTGTATGATAATTCTTATATTTAAACACTTTTCAAGAGTGAGTGAGTAGACATGCCTGGCTATTAAGACAAGGCCTTTCTCCCATTGAACATCAATCCAGAGCATGCTTCAGCTCATCAAGCTCCTTTGGATACTGCAGTGAAGCACGTGTTTCAGTGGAGCATGTGACTCTTAAACGCAAGTTCATGAGTTCAAGCCCCACACTGGGCATGGAAGCTATAAATAAATAAATAAATAAATAAATAAATAAATAAATAAATAGCAGCTACTGGAATCATCTGCATAAAACTGAGGAAGGGAGACTTTCCAACCCTCATGCTTCCTCTGAAATGGACACTGGAAGGTCCCGAACCTTTGAATGAGAATCACTGCCTTCATAAGTAGGAGAGCTAAGCTTTGTACCCAGGTCTTAAAACATATTCTATGTTATTTTTGTTGCTTTCATTCATTTTTAGGAGTTGCACTGACCTCTTCTAGGTTAAATTGAATATTTTCAGTGAAAAGGATAAAACATATTAATTGAACCCTTGCTGTGTGGTCCCCACCATCATAAACGCTCCAAGCCGCAAGCACTGCAAACACTATATAAGTGATAAGGCAGTTTCAGGAGAGAAATTGGGATGCTTGGCAGTAGGGAAGGACTCATTGAAGTTGGTCTTCGGAAATGGGTCGGACTTAGTCTGATGAAAGTCCACACAAGGGCACACCTGAGGTGAAGGACAGAAATAGGATTAAATGCATAACTGAGAAGGGAGACAGTTGTGCGCATTTTGGAGAGTAGAAGCATAGACACAGTGGATCCGATCACATGAAGTTGTATCACAGGAGACCCTTGAAAATTAGTCAAGTGAGTTTGAAGTTTTTATCATGTGAAATATGGAGTAATTGGAAAATTTTGAACAACGTGGATGGCTTCAAAGTAATCTAGGAAGCTCAGTCCATTATGTCCATGTCAGTTTTTTCTTTAGGATTTTATGTATGTATTTGAAAGAGAGAGCATGAATGTGGGCAGGAGCAGAGGGACAAGTGAACTCCCTGCTGAGCGCAGAGCCTGATGATGTGTGGCTCCATACCAGGACCCTGAGATCATGATCTGAGCCAAACTCAGACACTTAACCAATTCAACCATCCAGGCTGTCCGTGTCCAAGTTAATTTTGGGCAGACAGGTTATGGGAGTCAGCAGGGAAGTTTCTGAGACACACACACACACACACACACACACACACACACACAGTATAAATTGGCAACCTTTATAGCTAACTCTCTAACCCTATTAGGTATCCTTAGGATTAGACATAATTTAAATGTAGGCCAGATAGAAGGTGGAATATACTTGACACTCAAAAAAGTAACTGCTAATATAAAAGTTTGTGGCAAAAGCACAGGTGTCAAGTTTTCATTGTATGGCTTTTTTCCCCTCTTTCTCATCAAATATCTTTAAATATATATGAAAATTAACATCCTCTCTGTACCTTGTTGAATGATGGGAACTCTTTCCATCCCCCAAATTCTAATCTCCAGAGTATCCCGTCAATGGCCTGGATAGCTCATTTGGGCTCTTGAAAATAGAAGAAAAGTTAGGAGGCTACTTTTATAATTTGGAAAAGTACTATTATTATGAAAAATGGCAAAAGTCTCAGAAGATGATTGAAAATTGAAAGCTAATAGAGATGAACCAGAGAAATGCTACGCTGAAAACGTGATAAAAGTATTCAGCACAAGCACAGTGAGAGAGATTTCAAAATTGGAAAAACAAAACAAAACGAAACAAAACAGAAGGGAGGGAGGGAAAATTTTGGAGAAGATGAAGACGTTTTAGGACGTAGGGACCCGTGGACCACAGCTGAAGAGAAAGTACCCAAAATGATTGTGTCACTAGCTCCCCCCCCCCCCCCCGAATGAGGCTATTGCTCTAGTTATCACCCTGTGGAAACTAACCCTAAATGAGGTACAAATATCCAAGGGAGCAAGGGCCATGTTTCCGTGATTTGTTCTTTATTGCCAGGAGGTGACTGCAGATAAAGCCCATTTCGGGGTCCTTATGAGATCATTCCATCACCTGCCAATTACCAGCAAGCATCAGAAGTATTGGTGGAGTTGAAAGAACATGCAGCCAAACAAAATGCGAGTCATCACCTCACACATTGCTCTGCTAACACTTTGCCTTTTCCCCCTGTTCACAGAACCGAAAGTAAGCTGCAAATTAGGCCGATCTGCGTCCACATCAGGTGTGCCCCCTCCATCCGTCACTCCTCTCAGGCAAGCCAGTGACCTGCAACAGAGCCAGGTACCATCATCGTTAGCCAATCGTGATTGACTTCCTGTGATACAACATGCCAAACGCTTCCACCTCTGTCTGTCATGTGTTGCTGTAGACAACCTTTGCATTTGCTTTTATTTTTCTATGTTTGTGTGTGGGTGGAGGGGGTGAGTTGTGGCAGTCTGTGTTCTCATCTGAAACGAAAAGTCTTTCTTCTCTGTGACCGGTGAAACTTTCTTTGCTGTTTGTTACCAAATCGTTTTTGTCTCTGGTTCCCATCGTTCTGTAAAATTAATGTAGTAAATTTGTACTCTATGTATTGGCTTAGCAGTTATTTTTTTTAAAAATTCTTTCTCTCTTCCATGTTTTGTGTACTTTTATACTGTCTCTGAAAATTTATCAACATTTGATAAATTTATCTGTTTTATGTAGAGTTCTTTTTAAATGTTTTGTCTACAACACTTGCACAGATGTTGTCAATGGATTTGTACATACCTTTTAGCTCTTATCCTATTATGCTGTAATATTTGTGGCCATTTTGCTTTTATTTCTATTTAGCTTGGAGCATGATTGTAAGACACTGTGAATATCGATGTCCTTATAAATATTCATATACCAACTCATCTGGATTGAACATGGCAGCTAGTCTTCTTTCTTAGGCTATAAAGACAAATTGACCGACCAGATAATCTAGATATTTACCCAAAATTGTAGATTAATAAGGCGATCTTTAAATAAATGACTTTCCTCTCTTAACCCCAACAACATCAGAAATGTTCTCAGAAAGAGAATGTAAGTGTTCGTGCATGGTAAAGAAGATCTCTATTATCACTTGGAGCAAAGAGTCAAAAAATAAAGGCATAAAAAAAAAAGAAATAAAGGCATAAACTAAAATATCATTTAATCCTTTACAGTAACAGTATGTTGCTCTGCTGTTCATTTGGGTAAATGGTTGTCTATGAGGAATTTAGTATGGAAAAAAATCATGACACGTGAATGGCTGTCTATAACTCACCCAATAGAAACCCAGTACATCGACTTAATTTGTGAAGCTTAATTGTTGTTACCGTTCAGTATTATGAGTGTTAAATAGGGTAATGTCATCCTGGAGTGATTTCTCTCTGCTTCCCAGCTTTAATCTTTGCATTCATAAAACTCTTCTGAAATAGTAAATTATAAAACTAGCGATGGTACCTCCATGGGAACTGTCCATTACTGATTAGCAAATTACATATTCATCAATTATTTAAAATGTCAAGCTATTTTAAAAACATAACTAAGCAGAATAATTGCATTTTTTTTTCTAATGGGAGACATGGTGCTTTTTAGTATTTTGGTCTGGCTTAAATATGCACAGGATTTGATTTATGAATATATGAGATATCTATAAACATGAGAGATGAGAGGCTTCTCTCAAGGGCATCTCAAGTGTCATTTAGAATTCCTTGTGTCTTAATTTAAAATGTTAAATGCTTTCATAACTAAATGTATTCAGCTCAAATGCTTTTTGGGCAAAAAAGAAGTAGAAACGATAAGACAATGAATTAATAAATAAATAAAACAATTGACCTCACTAAGATGAACTGCCATCTTAGTTGATTTAAAGCTATTTTTAAAAAATTGCATTTATCAATATTTAAAGATTAAAAAATTTGCTACAGAAAGGAAAGAAATTTAGCTGACTGTCAAAAGGTTGTATTAGCATAATCGATTTTCTAAGGACATGTACCTTGCTATATTATATTGCCCTCAGTATCACAGTGTGGTTTTGTGTTCTGTTTTTTTTTCCCTTTTTTTTCTAATTATCTTTATAGTTATTTCATCCTAAGCCCCTTTAATTCTCAACGAAAGCAGGTTCTTGGGGTAAACTTCCAGAATAAAAACAAGACACAATGTTTGTGCCTTTGCATTATCAACTCTTTGCTCACCTAACGGGATACGCTTTATTCTTCCGAAGATAGCAACATGAGAAAGCCCCTCCCCCTCTCCCTCCTCACATTGCTTGCACACTGTTAGTTTCCCTACAAACCAGCAGAAATTCTGGCACACATCCATATGTAGATGGGCTGTCAGGTTTCCAAATTAGAAGGTGAGCCTCTGAGTCTCTCCTCTGTGGACTGTGACTGATTGTAGTATTTGCCTATTCCTATGTTCTAGAACAAAAGAGGTAAGCAGGACTCAGAAGAACCTGGCTTTGCACTCCTATGACTTAACATTGGGCTAAAGTCAGTGGCTACCTATGAAAGATTCTCTTCTCACTTAATTCCCATGCTCTTGACTGAGATGTGTCTCTAACAACCAGGATGAACTGCCCTTTTTTTTTTTTTTTTTTTTTTTTTGGTAATCCAAGGCAGCGTTAACCTGTTGACTCTAAGAGTGAATATCTGTACACCGACTAGGATATGGAATGCCTAGCATTATCAAACAATCACCCTAAGTGGCTTCTGAAGCAGTTTTTCCTGATACCAGGATTCCCAGGAACTACATAATACAGAATGCTTAATAGGAGATGAATCCACTTCTTATTAGGAAATTGTGGAAAACCACGTGATTCCTTTTAAACAAAAACAATTGCTAATCCCTAAAATAATTCTAAGGGTGCTTATCAGCTGAGGAACTTGGCTTTAGGATGCCAGTGACATTTCAGCCACATTAAGGGACATTATCGTTCATAGAGAAGGAACTGTGTTTCCTTTCAGATTGCTTGTTCACATCTTATCGCTTTTCTGTTTCCTCAGTACAATTTTTGACTTACCATTACATGTCATGATAAGAGCTTTCTAAGAAGTGTTGCAAGAGTATGTGTATGGAAGTGCCTAACATTGCTCCAGCAGAGAATTACGGAGGTTGCCTGCAAGTGCCCCTCCACCACCTCCCCGGCTAGGCCAATAATGATTGCCCACCCCCAAAGAGTCTAGTTACAGTTACATTACTGAGCCACAGAGGAACCTAGGGCCAGCAGTGACTGTCCACCATCAGCATTTGTGTGTTAACAAAGGTCAAGATAACACTTGCTTGGTTTTGCAATCTTGGCCTCCGATAACTACAGTAAACACAAGATTTGTAGAAAATGCATAATCTTACCTGACTGGAAGTTCGAAATATGCAAGAGAAAATGTAGTGCTCAGGAGAGAAGTGAGTTGTAAAGCATTAGAGTGTTATATTCTTTGAAACTCAGAGAGATGAAAACAATTTTTTTTTTCTCTCTTAATTTACTCCAGAATAGGTAGACTAGACATGGGGTAAGACATTTCCTTGGAATTTTATTGCAATGTAGCCACATATTTTGACATTCATCTTAAAGCAGTTCTTTGGAAATTAAACTGAGTTTCTGTTCCTGCTATGGAAATGCTGTTTTCTTTCCTTAGTTATAAAAGTAAAACTTCACTGGGGCACCTGCGTGGCTCAGTCGGTTAAGGGTCTGCCTTCGGCTTAGGTCATGATCTCAGGGTCCTGGGATGGAGCCCTGCAGCCAGCTCCCTGCTCAGTGGGGAGCCTACTTCTCCCTCTCCTCCCTGCTTGTGCTCTTTCTCAGCATCTCTTTGGCTATCTCTGTCTTTCTCTCTCTCAAATAAATAAATGCAGTCTTTAAAAAATAAAAAAAGCAAAATGGCATAGAAGTCATATTTAACTTGAAGTCCATGTAACTTTCTCTTTTTCTCTTCTGTAATAAAGTAGAAAGCCATGTGTTCAGAAGAAAGGGTGTGACCACTTTTATAGACAGCAGAAAATGATGTTTCTGTCATTCCTCTGTATCTGGCCAAGAACAAACCTACCTCTTGGAATGTGACCTCCATTCCCCTGGTGATGACACCATTCTGTAGTCTTGCTACAGCAGATGTTAGGGCAGCAGCCAATGCTTGTGGCCATGGGAAAGCCATGCTTTCTCTCAAGAATGGAGCAGCTATGGTGTGTCTCTACACAGAAGTGCCAGCTTTCTTTGGAAAAATGTTCCCAAAGAATGTTTGTATTTGTTTTTCAGGGAAGGAAGGGGATGAACACCACATGCTCCATTGTACGCACACACGCACTTAAACACTCATTTCCATACACTTAGGCTCCCTCATCCACACAACTGTCACATATTCACACGTACATGTACATACTTGCTCACATTCACTCACTCATGAATGTCCACACTTCACATTTGTTAAACAACAGATCCCCAGGTGGAGTCGGGGAATCACAGAGCAGTGATCACATCCTATCACAGAATCACAGAATCACATCACAATAACAGTGACCTAAGTGATGAAATGAAACTTCACCTTCTCCCTGAGGCTAGTTTATCCTTCAAAACTGGATTATCTCTGATTATCCTTGATCTTGGGGAAGGGTTAGGAAAAGGCCATCTGCAACTTCCTTTGGACATACATTGCGAAGGCTGATAGACCCAAATCTCTTTAGAAATCTCACAGTCTCCTCCAAGGCCATTATCTCTTGTTTCGTGGGCCCTCCACACCATGACAGATGCTTCTTCTTTGCCTAGGATAGGCCTCACCCCAGCTGCTGGTCAAATGAGCATACCCAGGTTCTTGTAACTTGCCCTTCAGGGTGATTTCTCAGATGTTTATTCCTTTCAGTGCCAGCCCTCTGGACTCTTTCCAAGCTCCTCACATCCTCCTTCAGTTTGATGACCCTGCTGGAACATAACGAGAGCCAGCCCAGCGCTGGCTGCAGAGTAGAACATGTTTTCTTTTCCCACAGATGCCATAGCTATGCCTGCACACCAGCATTTGGCCAGCTTTTCTAGAAAATGAAAGAAGGTTTTGGGGTCCAAGCTTGGCACATGTCCAGCGTGTGTGCTGGCCATGCCTGGATGTCAAAATTGTTTTTCTGGAAAAAAAAAAAAAAAGGAAGGTAAATCATCCAAAGATAGGGATTAAGGATCAGTATGTGTGATTCTGTGACAAGGCTGTGCCCAATTTCGAGGCATACTCCTAACGGCCAGCACACTGTGTGAGACTCAGTGATCTTTCGCCGACTGACAAAATTTCTCTCTTGATAAATGTCTCTCTCTCTCTCTC